AAAGGGAAATAAGAACATTTATGAGATGTAAACATCTCCCTGTAAAGAATCTAAGTCACAGCAGTTGTAATTGTGAACACATTTCCCCAAAAATATGTACCTCCTATTATGTAGTGGGTACTGCAGGGTCACAGAACTGAACAGGTCTGAGGCAGTTTTATGAACCCAGGTATTTAGACCAACCCTCTTAATTAGGATGTTGGTTGAGTTGCTGGAGCAGAAACCCTGAATAACAATGTCTTTTGAAAGGAAAAGGTTTCTTTCCTACCTGACAGAGCAGACATAAGCAGTCCAGGATGGGTATGGTGGATCAGTGTAACAGGAGTCTAGATTCCTTTATCTCGTTGCTCCAGCATCTTTAACATGTTGCCCTTATGCACATTTAAGGCAACAAAAAGAAAGAGGGGAAAGCAAGGACGTTCCATTTGCCTTTAGGACGCACTACTTCCACTCATGTCCTATTGGCCAGAACTTACTCACATGGTCCATTCCATCTAGCTGGAAGGAAAGTCAGGAAGTATAGTTCATTGTATGGGCAACCAAGTGCCCAGCTGAAAATCCGGGGGTGTCTAATGACAGAAGAAGGAGAAAATGGACTGGGGACAACCCCAGCAGTCAGTCAACTGCCAAATACACTGGCAAGCTGCATCTAGCCTGCTATGCATGGCTCTGGCCTCCAGGAATCCAAACTTCTCAGCCGGGTATCTGGCTAACAGCTAAGTTAATCTTCTAAGGGAGAGCATGCAAAATGATTCTTTTATGTACAATCAGCAAGTAGGAGAGAGAGGGGCACTATTTTGAAAAATGGAAGAGTCTTGCAAAAACACATTTAGGGGTAAGACATAATTTACAAGACCAGAAGACTCCCTTGGAGTAGCTCTTCCATCACAGTTTGACTAGAATTAGCATCTAGATAAGTCTGCTTTGCTCCTTCCCTCCCATCTGGTTCCTAGTTCTTGTATAAAACAAAATATCAAACCCATACATACATGGTCAATTACTTTATGACAAAGAAGTTAAGAACATACAGTGGGGAAGGGACAGTCTCTCCAATAAATAGCGTTGGGGGAAACTGGGTGGCTACATGCAAAGGAATGAAACTGGACCACTATCTTATACCATACACAAAAACTTACTCAAAATATAAGACCTGAAATGTAGGCTTACCTACAGCTATTATCATATTCTGTGCTGAAAAGCTGAAAGCTTTTCCTATAAGATCAGGAGGTATAAACTTTCAGTTATAAAATAAATAAATCATGCTGATGTAATGTATAGCATGGTGACTATAGTTAATAATATTGTATTGCATCTTTGAAAGTTGCTAAGAGAGTAAATCTTAAAAGTTCTCATCACAAGAAAAAAAATTCTATGTATGTTGACAGATGTTAGACTGTGGTGTGATCATTTTGCAATATATAAAAATATCAAATCATCATGTTATGTACCTAAAACTAATATGTTTTATGTCAATTATATCTCAATTTATTCTTTTTAAAGATTTTATCTATTTATTTGTTCATTTATTTATGAGAGAGAAAGAGAGAGAGTGAGCCCGAGCAGGAGGGGCAGAGGGAGACGGACAGAGAGAATCTCGAGCAGACTCTGTACTGAGCAGAGCCCAACATGGGGCTTGATCTCATGACCCCGATATCATTGACCTGAGCTGAAACCAAGAGTCAGACACTCAACCAACTGAGCCACCCAGGCGCCCCAATTATTCCTCAATTTTAAAAATGATAAAATTTAATTTAATTTTTTTCAATTAAAAAGTCAATATCCTGGGGCGCCTGGGTGGCTCAGTCGTTAAGCGTCTGCCTTCAGCTTAGGTCATGATCCCAGGATTCTGGGATCGAGCCCCGCATCGGGCTCCCTGCTCGGTGGGAAGCCTGCTTCTCCCTCTCCCACTCCCCCTGCTTGTGTTCCCTCTCTCGCATTCTCTGTCTCTGTCAAATAAATAAAAATAAAATCTTTAAAAAAAAAAATCAAATGAGGTGTCTTGTGAAAAGCCTGGAGCACAGGTTTTTAGTTAGTTCCCTTCACTTAAGTTAGGGCTTCCCCCAGTTTAAGTGTCAGAGGTAGTAAGATCAGATCGTCGACATGTGCAAACTGCCTGCCACCACAGGCCTGAATGACTGTGCCCTCAAGTGCCTACAGTGACAGAGTAGCTTTCTCATCCTTAAACACTTTTTTTTCTCATTTCTTAAACACTTTTTTTTTTTTCAGTTAAACTGGCTTTACCCAAATATCTAGGCATTCAGGGGAGTCTGGAGCTATAGAGACCATTAGAATAATTTTTTAATATTTTATTTATTTGAGAGAGAGAAAGAGAGCATGAGTTGGGTGGGGGTGGGGGGCAGAAGGAGAGGCAGAAGCAGACTCCCCCTCTGAGCAGGGAGCCTAACACAGGGCTCGATCCCAGGACTCTGGGATCATGACCTGAGCCAAAGGCAGATGCTTAACAGACTGAGCCACCCAGGTGCCCCCCATTAGAATAGTTTTTGCTCTTCCTCAAAAAGTTGAAAATAGAGCTACCCTACGACCCAGCAATTAGACTACTAGGGATTTACCCCAAAGATACAAATGTAGTGATCCAAAGGGGCACCTGCACCCCAATATTTATAGCAGCAATGTCCACAATAGCCAAACTATGGAAAGAGACCAGATGTCCATCAACAGATGAATCGATAAAGAAGATGTGGTATGTATATACAATGGAATATTACTCAGCCATCAAAAAACCCTGAAATCTTGCCATTTGCAATGACGTGGAACTAGAGGGTATTATGCTAAGTGAAATAAGTCAATCAGAGAAAGACAATTACCATATGATTTCACTCATATGTGGAATTTAAGAAAAAACAGAGGATCATAGGAGAAGAGAGGGAAAAATAAAACAAAATGAAATGAGAGAGGGAGACAAGCCATAAGAGACCCTTAATCATAGGAAACAAACTGAGGGTTGCTGGAGGGGAGGGGGGTGGCGGGATGGAGTAACTGAGTGATGGATATAAAGGAGGGCACGTGATGTAATGAGCACTGGGTGTTATATAAGACTGATGAGTCACTGAACTCTACCTGTGAAACTAATAATACACTATATGTTAATTAATTGAATTTTAAAAAAGAAAGAAAAAAGAAAACTTAAAGGAAAAATCAGGTTTCTGTTTTCTTTTTGTATACAAATGTCTCTCAAGATGTTTTCCACATTAAGATATATACCAAAAAAAAGAATGGTCTTTGTTTGGAGTAGTTTTTTTGTTTTTAAGATATCAGGATGTAATTAACCACAAAACAAAACAAACCAAAAAACCGACCTGATACATTTAGACCAAAATTTTTTTCTCATGTAACAAGAAATCTGGAGAAAGATGATTGCTGAGGCAGATTCAGCTGCTCAGGGGTGTTGTTAAGAACCAGGCTCTTTCATTCATTCTGCTCTGCCATGCTTGGTGGGTCGACCCCTTCGTCTTTAGGCTTGTCACGTCATGGTTACAAGGCAGAGACTGCAGCTGCAGGTAGTGCAGCCTCAGCGGAGGGCAGCCAGGGCAGAGAGGGTTGGTTTCTCAAGTTCCTAGAAGTGCCCAGCAGGCATACCTGTCTCACAAGCCCATCCCCTGGCTACACACACACAAACACACACACACACACACCTGGGGCCCACCCACCTTTCTCAAGATCAAGGGCTCTCTGTGGACACCTAAATGAAATCTGGGTTTTGTTAGCAGGAAAGAAGAAAGACTATATACCTGCACCTTATAGCCTGCCACAGGTAGTCTGTTTATAATGAAATGGGAGTGATGAGGGCCTCCCTCCCTTCCTAATATGCCCATAGCTTTCTCAAGCTTTAGCCTGCATTGAAATCCCCAGATGACTTATGACAAAACACTGATGCACTCCCAGAGTTTATGATTCTGTAGTTCTGGGGTAGAGCCTGAGACTTTGCATTTCCAACAAGTTCCCAGGTGAGGCTGATGTTGCCAGTCAGAACACAGTTTGAGAATCACGGCTGTAGGCTTAGAGAAAACCCAGCTTAGGAACGTTAGCTGCAGCAATGGTTCTCAGCGAGCAGTAGTTTGCCTCCCAGGACAAGGGGACGTTTCGCAGTGTCTGAAGATATTTTGGGTTGTCACACTGTAGAAGGTACTACTGGCATCTAGTGGGTCGAGGCCAAGGATGCTGCTAAGCATTCTACAACGCACAGTACAGACTTCCACAACAAAGAATTATCTGGCACAAAATGTCAATAGGACAAAGGTCAAGAAATCCTAGTTTAGAGTGATTTTGTGTTATTAGACCTAATAGTTTCAAAGTAAAATCTCTCCGCAATTTTTAATTTGCAGAAGTGCTTTCTGAATAACAATATTCTTATTTGGAAAGCACGGTCATCTTCAAAGAGGTGGTGGTATTGAGGCTTTAATCTGTTTTCTTGTTTACGCATATTAGCTGTTACAGTAGCTTGAAATGGTAACATAGATTTTTGTTCTTTTTTTAAAAACAGGTTTATTGATATAATTGACATACCATACAGCTCACCCATTTGAAGTGTACAATTCAGTGGCTTTTAGTTGTACCTCCATCACCACAATCAATTTTAGAACATTTCATTACCCCCAAAAGAAACCCTTTAGTTATCATCTGCCATCCCCAATTTCCCCCCCCCACCCCCAACCCTAGGCAACCAGGAATCCTCTATATTTGCCTCTTCTGGACATTACATAGAAATGGAACCATATAATATGTGGTGCTTTGTGAGTGAGGCTTCTTTCACTTAGCATAATGCTTTCAAGGTTCCTCTATGTTGTAGCGTGGATCAGCATTTCATTCCTTTCTGAGGCAGACTCATGTTCCACTGTACAGACATTCCATATTTTGTTTATCCTTTCATCAGTTGATGGTCTTTGGGTTGTTTCTACCTTTTGGCTATTGTGAATAGTGCTACTATGAATATTCACATATAAGTTTTTGTGAAGACATATGTTTTCATTTCTCTTGGGTAGATACCTAGGAGTGGAGCTGCTGGGTCCTATGGCTCTACGTTTAACCATTTGAGGAACTGCCAGGCTTTTTCCAAAGAGGCTGCACCATTTGACCAGCAGTGTTTGAGAGTTCCAATTTCTCTACATCTTTGCCAGTACTTGTTATTGTCTTCTTTTTTATTTTAGCCAGCCTGGTGGGTGTGAAATGGTATCTCACTGTAGCTTTGATTTATGTTTCCTTAATGGCTAATGATGTTGAATATCTTTTCATGTACTTATTGGCGGTAAGTTTGATTTATGTCAGAATCTGAGTTAGAGTCTTGAGCAGAGACCTACATAGAACTGGCCTTCAGAAGTCCAGACTCGGGGCAAGGACTGAGAGCGGACTCAGTTATCAGAGACTGAAGTGGGTTATATCACCGTCCAAGGGGATAGCCAAGAACTCGAAACTTAAATTAATGACTGACTCCATGGAGCAGGATTCAGAATTAGATGTCAGGGATCCAAAGTCAAGGAGTTTCCTGAGTTAGGGGTGACTAAAGCTGGTGCTATTTAGGAGGTTACCCTTGGTCCATTCCCCCACTTGGGGACCAGAAGTCCTGCAGATGGGAGGCAGGACAAGTACCCACATCTGGTGGCAGGCCTCAAGAAAGCAAGAGGAGGAAACCCAAGAAAGGTGCACACTGAGGAAGCAACATGAATGTCCACTGTGCTCAGCTGCACCTCTATTTAAATTTACTTTTATAGGAGCTATGACGAGAAACATCACCATCACAAAGTCAAGCTTCGCAGAGTTAAGGACCGTTTAATTCATGAAGTAGAACTACGAGATGAGAGAATTGAACAACTGGAAAATGAAATCAGAGGTCTGCGTCAGCAAAGGGAAATAGTGAGTGGAAAGGTGAAGAGCTCCCCAATGTGCCATGGCTTGGCTCATTCGAGAAAGCCCCCTGGTGCTTTAATTCTCTTGTGGCCTCTTTGTACTCTAGGTTCTCATTTCTTTCCGCACCTTCTTTCGATGTGAGTAATTCTGCCAAAAAGTATGTAAGACTCATGGTGTTAGTAAACTGAATCAGACACTGAAACTATCCTGCACTTCCAACTCCGGTCAGTGTCTTGTCTTCAAATGAAAATGTCTTCTCTTAAATATCCATCAGCAGAGACTTCCAGACCACCCTACATAATTCATTCCTACTTCACATTGCCCTCATTTTGCCTCAAACTTCTGTCAGTTTTAAATGGCAGTGAAAATTGGTGACCCCTACTTATCAGTCCTTGTGTAGTGTCTGCAGGCTTTTTTTCTAAATATCCACATCTTCTTCATCTTTGTCCCATTGCCCCTGTGACTTACTGGTAGGTAGGAGGAAAATGAGACAAATGGCATGGAATCAACTGCAGAATGGTCTTGAGATCATTAAACTACACGAATTCAAAGTGGAGAGCAACTGACTAAGCCAGTAATGCTTTCCCTTCTTGAGATGCCTAGCCCATCAGAATTTTGAAAACTCTGTGCTCACTCCTAAAATACTCATTTCTATGTATGTGCCAAGGATCCCAAAAGAATTCATGCAATTTCAGTCATTCCATGGGCTATTATGGGATGGTTAAGAATTCTAGACTACACACAATAAAACATTTTTGGATTATAACAGATGGGTCACCAATGTTTTAAAAAAAAAATCCTCCTGATTCTCCACACTATAGTGAGAGAGGAAAATAAGTTGGATTTTGCAGTATCCTTCTCTTTGGGTACTAAATTGTCAAACTTTAAAGACTCAGATCTAGGTTAGACTCACAACTAGGAAAAGTACATGAAAAGTACTACAGAAGAAAGTAGCAATCCTGGTTGGTGGGCCCACCAGAAATAGAAGCCTACTTCTGCATTACCACTCTTTTGTACTGCCTGCCTTCCACTGTTAGGCTTACATGACAGAAACAGCCTCCTACTTCTTTCTTCCCGACTGTACTGGGTTGAATAGTGTCCTCCACAAATTCGTGTCTATCCAGAACCTCAGAATGGGATCTAATTTGGAAATAAGGTCTTTGCAGGTGTAATTAATTAAGATGGGCTCATGGTGGATTAGAGTTGGCCCTAAATCCAATATGACTGGCGTCCTTATAAGAAGAGCAGGCACACGTAGACACACACAGGGGAAGAAGGCCACGTGACGATAGAGGCAGCTATCGGAGGGATGCAGCTATGCCAGGGAGCACCAGGGATTGCTTGTAAACTCCAGAAGCTGAGAGACAGGCATAGAGCCCCCAGAAGGAACTTACCCAGCCAACACTCCAATTTTAGACTTGTAGCCTCCACAAATGTGAGAAAACCCGTTCCTTTTGTTTTCAGCCATCCAGTTTGTGGTAATTTGTTACAGCAGCCCTGGGAAACGGACACATCTACCCAGAGAGCCACAGATTTCCAGGAGAGATGGCAAATAAGCAGAGGCTAAGGAAGAGCAGTTGGTCCCTTTGCTCACTGCCCTTGAAGGCTGCTGGGGGCTTTGGCCGTAGACAGATGCAAAATCTAGACCTGCCACTTCATAGTTCTGTGACCTGGCCCAAGTCTCCGGGTATCATTTTCCTCGTCCGTGAAGTGGCAGAACTAATCCCCACCTCACGAGGCTTTTGTGCAGTTAAAATAGGAAATGCGTGAGGTGGCACCTGACACAGACAACTTTCCAGACATGTTCTTCTCTTCTCTTTTGGTGCAAGCTCTCTTAGAAACATATTGATTGGTAGATGTACAGTTCATGAGAGGAATTGTTAATGGAATAGGAAATACTTAGCCTAGAGAAGACTGATGTGAGATCTTTTAATGCCACAGTGGTACACACCTGGAGGTCCTGGTTTTACTTATTTTAGGGCCCGTGGACCAGAGCCACTAGCATAAAAAAGCTCGACTCACCTTCCAAGCACCAAGTCTCCAGAAAGTAATGGCAATTTTTTGGATTTCGTTCCTTCACCCTTCTCTTTATACAGTGAGCCAGTTGAGTCTCCTGACTGTTGTAAACATCCAAACCAGATTTCTCCAAATATTTTATCCTTTTATTAGAGCAGGTGTCCTTATTTTCTGGTTCAAAAATAAATAAATAAATAAGGCATTTCCAAAGGGCAGAGTGTAGGTAGCCTGCCCCATCTGGTTTCCTTTCTAATCCAGTTGTAACAGCAGAGTAGTATTGGTGGGATGACTGCTTCTATTCTCAATCCTCGCCAAAAATGTATTTAAATAAGAGCAGACAGGACTATTGTTAGACATTGAAGGTTCCTGGCTGCGGGACTTTAAAATCTGGAGTAGTTTGTTTCGGAACATAATGTAATATCCTTTCTTACAATTCTTGAATAATAGATGGAGTCTTTTCTGGATGATCTATATTAGTGCCTTATTTAAAAGAAAGAAAGAAAGTTGCCCCTCTTAACTCTGTGATTCACCATCTGCCAGCAGCTCATTCTGCTTCTCCCATACCCACTCACTCCTGCCTTTGGCAGGTGGGGCACAAACACAGAAGGGTGAAGGACTTATCACTGACAGGGCATCAGTGAAATGAGGAGGGCAATTCTACACTTTTGAGCTTCTAAACGCCTCACCCACAGTGATAATTTATTAATAGCTACTGACTCTTTCAATATAAGAACATTAGTATTTTTTCACCAGATCACTCCTTTATCATTTTAGCTATAACTTCACTAGCTATTGCTTTCTGGGAAAATTGTTGGTAGAAAACGAGACATGGTGTCAAGTTAGAAGTCTCTTTAGCATGATCACTGCAAGGATATTCTCAGTAGCTGGCTTACCTGCTTCATTTGCCAAGGCAACTGAGATCCTGATGCTGGTTGCCAAGTATGGGGGCTAAATTTCCATCTCCTCACTTTGTCTTAAAAAGACTATCACCCCAATGCAGATGGAGTTGTATTATATGGAAAAATGTCAAACTGGAGCTTCGGGGAATTCAGTTGCATTTGGTAGTGATTTGATATACCTATGGTATTAGAATACACATGAAAGCCTTGGGACCTTATTGGAAGTGGAGTGCTCAGGTATTTTTAAATGTTAACCCAGGAGAATGATTAATTGTTCAAAAAAAATACAAGACCTAAAATAACCAAAATAAACAGAAGAACTATCTAGCTGACAATGTCAGCAAACAGGTGAAAACAGACTAGGGGACAGGAGAGGAAAAGTAAAGAAGGGAAATTTGCTGTCAACTTCGTAATTCTTCCTCCTGCTGTGGTAGTGAGGGGCTTTATTATCTCTAGGAGAAGGCATTCCAGGAAGAGGTCACTGCTCAAAATGATATACTGCTCCTAGAGAAAAGGAAACTTCTGGAACAACTCACAGAGCAAGAAGGCTTAATCCACAGCAACAAATGTGTAGTATCTTCAGTCCAGAACAGGTAGGTGCGGTCCTGCCCGAGGAGCCAATGAACTCTGCAAAGATGTTTCCCCCTCAACAAAGAGATGGTTCCAGAGACTGTCCTTTGGGTTTGCAGCCTATCTCATAACTGTTGCTCTGCTGCCTGCTGTTTTCAGCAATTCATGCAAATGTTATGAAATTAAAGAGAAAAAGATCATGGAGGAGGTGGGTCAGCTACTCAGTTGGGCTCTCGCACATAGGCATTGCCTGACTGAGGACCTAGCTGTGCTCATTCTGGCTGTCACTTTATGTGTTGACACTCATTTTTATCATCTGATACCTCTGGAATCAAGGTAGATCAAGAGAGGAACAGGCTCATACTAGTGACTTAAATTCATGAAACCCATAGGATGCCAATTGTATTAATTTATACTGAGAAATGGTCCCAGCAGAGAAGAATTCACATTATCAGCCAGCCCAAGCACTCTCTCCTCTATTAGGAAACTCCAGTTACAATGAAAAGTTTTCTTGGAGCACAGAATTAGGGCAAAGAGAGTGGTTTGATCTTAACACATAGAGTCACCAATAATAACTATAATGACTAACATTTTTTGAGCACTTACAATGTGCTAGGCATTGTTCTAAGCTCTCTCTGTCTCTCATCAATCCTCACACCAATCCCACGAGGGAGGCTCTGGGATTAGCCCTATTTTATGGGAGAAAGCTAAGGTCCAGAGACGCTCAGGAACTCAGGCAGCCTAGTCAGTGACAGCAGTGTGTGCTTGCCCTCAGTAGCTTGGCCCTAGAGCCCACAGCACCACAGTCTGTGGGGGAGATCTGTCCAGCAGACTGGAACTCTCCTTTCTGCTGTTGTGGGCACACACTTCTCAGGGCAGACCTGGGGAGTCTCTGATGATCTCTTACTGTCTGTGTCTCCCCTTTTATATAGTCTATATAAGCCATTGCCCTTCTCAAACTAGGTCATTGATTCTGATATTCCCAACACAACTGACATATTACCCGTGCCCTAACATTAATGGTGTTCCCCTCTTGCCCTCCTAAAGACACACTTTGGCCATCTGGATTGGACTTGTGTGTTTTCCTTGGAGTTAAGTTTCTTCTACAGGATGCTGCTTCCTTTTACAGATGAGAAAACTGAGGCTCAGATGTGGTAATTTGCCAGGGGTCACACAGCTAGTATGTGGCAGAACCCGAACTCAAACACAAATCTCTGATCAACACTATTCTACCATCATGTGTCCCAAATACACCTTGGCCCTGGAGAGTGAGCCTGGTGTAGTGCCTAGGAACTCAGGCTTAGAAATCGGAAAGATCTGGATTGGCATCTCAGGTCTACGACTTTCTGGTTTTATGTCCTGAAACCAGTTGCTTTTCTCTGGGCTTCAGTTTCCTCATCTCTAAAATAGGCTCCATAACAATATCCATCTCATGGGGTTGTTGCAAGGATCAGATGAGCCAACACATGAGCAGGTTTAAGTGTTTACTCTGTGGGTAGGGCACAGTGCCTAAGCACATGGTAAGGCCGTGGTAAATGGTTGCTGCTGCTGCTGCTATTACTGCTGCTACTGCTCCTACTGCCACTACTACTATTACTACTGCAGCTGCTGCTACTATTACTACTGCTGTTGCTGCTGCTACTACTGCTATTACTGCTGCTGTTGCTGCTACTACTGCCGCTGCTGCTACTACTGTTACTACTGCTGTGGCTGCTACTATTACTACTGCTGCTGTGGCTGCTGCTGCTTAATTACTATTGCTGCTAATACTACTATTACTACTACTGCTGCTATTACTATTACTATTGCTGCTGCTGTTACTACTGCTGCTGCTACTATTACTACTGCTGCTACTATTACTGCTGCTGCTACTACTGCTATTACTACTGCTGCTGCTGGTGCTACTATTACTATTACTGTTGTCGCTGCTGTTACTACTACTACTACTGCTACTACTACTCCAAAAGTATGGGATGACTGTATGAGATGAGAACCAGATGCAGGCTGTGTAGCTACAATATTTGAAGGGATGCAGAGTCTCTTGTTGCAGCCCCACCCCTAAATGGGATCATATCCTTTGTCAGATTTCTCAAGGGCTAGAATTGTGCCTTCCCTTCCATACTCTTGCATATGGTATGTCTCTGTTCTCAATATGTTTTTAATGACTCTGTACAGGCCAAAAGCTTATTAATTTCTACTTGGTCTTGGAACATGGTGGGAATTATTCTGCCAAAGTTGGTTCCATAATCTAGGCAGTGGGCTAAGACCCAGAGCTAGTGGTAAGTGGGACATAGTTTTGAGTTTTTAGTAGTGATACAGAAATGTTTAGTTATTCCTCTGATCTATCCCATTCTTAGAGTTCTTCTTCTGGATAAAGAAAAGAGGCAATTGTAGGACACCACTTGCCATCTTACATAGCAGGTTGGCCTCTTAGAGCATATCATAAGGAGCATCCGGATTCACAGAGAGGTAAGATGCATGCTTCTGTCGTGTCCTTCATATGAAGCCTAGTTGCCAAGGTTATTGTGTTCTCTCTTCATCTTCATATAGCTGTAGGCTGCACTTGGCTTCATGGTGGCCTGTGGCAAAGAAGCTCATTGGCTGCACCAGAGCAGCAGAACCTGAGACTGCCCTTGGCCAGCTTTGCTCTTCATTGGGTCGGTTTGGGGCCCAGACTCATGACCCTGAGATCAAGTGGGGCCCGAACTCATGACCCTGAGAATAAGACCTGAGCCGAGATCAAGAGTAGGACGCCCAACCAACTGAGCCACCCAGGCACTCCTGGGTCAGCTTTTAGTAGACACTCTTCTCCTATGTGATCCCAAAGAGATTGTGCATGCCTCATAGCTTCTTTAACACTGTATCACCATTGTCTTTTTGCTTCTCTATCTCAACTCAGCAGTGAGATCCTGGAGGGCAAGGCTTGTATTTCATATGTCATTTTATTTACAGACAGGTGCTCCATAAATATTTGAGAATGAATATTAAATGCTTTCACATGTATACCTCATTCTCAACCCTGTTTGCCATGAATTATTCTAGCCCTGTCTGAGAAATGAACAAATCTGAGGCTCAAAGACATAAATGAAGATAGTCTGGTCTGGCATGGGGTCAAGCCTAAGAACAAAGAGTCAAGAACAAAAGAGTCAGAGAAAAAGCAATTAAGTTACAAAAATCCAAGCAGACAAGTAGCCAAGTTTAGATAGATGTGGCAAATAGTATAGATTCAGAGAAGGTCCAGAGTCTGGCTGGTGAATGTGTCAGCAAGAGGGACTTCAGTGATCAGAGGTGCATTCTGAATCCAAGACAGAGGCTTCTTGCTTTCTCCCCTGGCTTGTATCACCTGCTAGATGTTTCCTTCCAGGATACTTCATGTAGATCCTCCTTATTGGGTACTATTGCTGTGAACATAAGACCCACATCTGGTTTGCTCTCAGAAAGGTGATTACTTCTGGAGTGCCTGGGTGGCTCAGTCAGTCGGGTGTCCAACTCTTGATTTCGGCTCAGCTCATGGTCTCGGGGTTCTGGGATCAAGCCCCGTGTTGGGCTCTGCACTCAGCACAGAATCTGCTTAGGATTCTTTCTCACCCTCTCACTCTGCCCTTCCCCCAACTCATGCACACACTTTTCTCTCTCAAATAAATAAATAAAATCTTTTTTAAAAAAAAAAAAGAAAGGTGAGGGGTCCCTGGGTGGCTCAGTCGGTTAAGCGTCTGCCTTCGGCTCAGGTCATGATCCCAGGGTCCTGGGATCGAGCCCTGCACCGGGCTCCCTGCTCAGTGGGGAGTGTGCTTCTCCCTCTCCCTCTGCCTGCTGCTCTGCCCACTTGTGCTCTCTCTGTATCTCTCTGTCAAATAAATAAATAAAATCTGAAAGAAAGAAAGAAAGAAAGAAAGAAAGAAAGAAAGAAAGAAAGAAAGAAAGAAAGAAAGAAATGATTATTTCCAAACTATATGAGTTGTTTTGTAGATTTTGTCCAAAGTAGAACTGCCAGATTATGTGGCTTAATTTCCAATAGTTTATGTTTTTGCTTGAACTACAATTGTTCTCAATTGTCTAGTCATTCACTATTCTACTTATTCATTCAACAAACATTTATCAATTCAGGAAACTATGCTAAGTCCTAGGAATATGAAGATAGACCCTGTTTCTGGAAGTCTTTAGTCTAGTAGAGAAGGACAGAGACATACAAGCACTATAGTATTATAGGTGCTGAGTTAGAGCCTTAATGGAGTATATATTAGACCTGATAGCTTTGAGATCCACAACATTATCCTCAAACAAGATAAGAAATGTGACAGGGGTCAGGACTATAGTACCTCAAGCTCCACATTTCATGTGTCACAAAAGTACCAACTTGTAACATCTTCATACCTGTTAAAACAACTCCAAATTGTTTTTAAACTTAGAATCTTAAGGATCTTCCAATTCAATCCCCTCATTTTATACAGGAGGGTTGATAAAACTCAAGAGAGGTTAAATGGTATGCTTGAGTCGCGCAGCTACTGCTGACATTTCCCACATCTCTTGATTCTCAGTGATTGAGTATCATACTACAAACAGATCAGTTTATAGATCCCTGAGATCAGACATATCCTAGATCTCCTCCTTCCTTGCAACACCTCAGAGGCTAAAATGGTGACAGCTTGACATTTGTTGAGTGCTTGCTACGCGCCTGGTACTGTGGTAAGCATTTTATGTACATTATCTCATTTAATCCACAAAATAACCTTGCCATTTTCACAGCTGAGGAAACTGAGCTCTAGAGAGGTGAAGTGACATCATTGCCCAAGACATATCGCCAATAAGCAGAACAGGGTCTGAAATAAACTCTGTCTGGTACCTTGTTCTTAGCCACTATCTCGTAATACCTCAAGTCTACTGTTTCCCTTTTGGGGTATGGGGGTAACCAGGGACATAGCCTTGTAAGAGACCATGTTGCTTCCTGTGTTGTAATCCCATCTTTCCTCCCTGTTGGATTATAAACTCCATGAGAGCAGGAACTATGTCTGTTGTGTTACCCTCTGCATCCCAAGCACTTAGTACCTGGGTTATAGCAACAACTTAACTCATCTCCTTTCAGTCTTTCCTCCTAATCTGTCCCATGCATGCCTCCAGACTAATCCTCATGAAGCCCTGCTTGCCTTCATAGTACTTCATCTCACAGAGTTTCAGAGACTTGCTTTGTCTATCAGATAAAGTTCATTCATTCAACAGCTATTTATTAGGCATATACAGGGTGCCAGGCCTCATACTGTCCCCCCTTGTGGTTTGGATATGGTGATGTACAAGATACAGTGTCTGCCCTCACAGAACTCAGCTCTGATGAGAGTGACTACCATATGCTGTGATGAGTTCTACAATAGCGGTAGGCCCAGAATGCTGTGAAAGCAGGCGGAGTGGCATCTAAACCTGTCTGGGGTGGTTAGGGAAGGCTTCCAGAGTTGATGTCCAATCCAGAGGAATTGAAGCCACATAGGAACTTCCCATAATCCAAATAACTTTCTGACATCAAACAAGTCTGATCAAATGAAACCAATCTGTTTACTGTTTCCCCCAAAGCTCTGCTTTCCTCCCTCTGGTTATGTATTTCCCTTACTTGGAAAGACACATCCCATCTTCCTTCCTTCTCTCATCTTCCTGGCTTTTGTCTTTTGAAATCCTATTCTGTTAGTCTATAGCCAGAGGGGTCTTCACAAAATATAATCTGACCATATGACCCAAAGCCATACAATGACTTACCATAGTCTTCTTTAGGCTCTTCTAGGAAATCCCTCTCCCTCCACTGCCTTCTCCCATGACTTTCCTGCCCCAGATTTTTTTTTTTTGGTTAGTTTCTACTGTCCCTCATAATTCAACCTAAATATCTTCTCTTCCATAAAGCTTTTTCTGAATCCTCCCCTCTCCAAATATGGCTTTGTGTCCTTGATAGGTTTTCTTGCTGCACCTTACGTCCCAAATCCCAGCTCAGCATTTTACTAGTTGTGTGAAAGAAGGAAACCTCATTCACCTTCTAGTTCCTTCATCTGGGAAAAGGAAGTAATAACACTCAAAAGGTGGCTGTTCCACACCAAAATCTGTATATGAATATTTATAGCAGCATTATTGATAATAGCCAAGAGATGTAAACAAACCAAATGTCTATCAACTGATGAATGGATAAATAAAGTGTGGTATATCCATCCATACAACAGAATACCATTCAACCGTAAAAAGTAATGAAGTATTGATCCATGTTATAATGCAGATGAACTTTAAGGATATTATGTGAAATGAAAAAAATCCAGTCACCATGTATTATATGATTCCATTTATATAAAATGTCGAGAATAGGCAAATATATAAACATAGAAGTAGATGAGTGGTTGCCTAGGGCTGAGGCATTGAGGGATGGGGGCTGTAGTTAAAGGGTATTAGGTTTATATTGGGGGTGATGAAGATATTCTAAAATTTATTGTAATAATAGTTGTACAACCCCGTGAATATACTAAAAACTGTTGAATTGTGCGCTTTATTTTTATTTATTTATTTGAGAGAGAGAGAGAAAGCGGAAGTGGGAGGTAGAGCAGAGTGAGAGAGACAAGCAGACTCCATGGTGGAGTCTGACGTGGGGCTTGATCCCATGACCTTGAGATCACAACATGAGCCAAAACCAAGAGTCAAATGCTTAACCAACTGAGCCACCCAGGCACCCCAAATTGTGCACTTTAAATGCCTGAATTGTATAGTGTGTGAATTATTTCTCCATAAAGCTATTATAAGAATGAATGAATGAATGAATGAATGAATGAATGAATGAATTCAGAGATGGCTACTGGAGATAAAGTAGAATAATTAGAATAATGCATATAAAATACGTAGTGTATTGCTTGGCAAATAAATGGCATTTAATAAATACAGCTTCTTTTTCTCAGTAAATACACATACATTTGTTTCTATATCGAACATTTATTGAGTTCCTCCCATATGTTAGGTATGCTTATGTTAATTAATTTTCACAATAACCCTGAAAGATTAGTGATTAATTGTTATTCTCACATTTTAAATGTAGGAAACAAAACTCGGGGAGGTAACGGGACATATCAGAGTCTAACTAGCAGAGCCAGAATTCAAGCCTTGCTCTCCTAACTCCTAGTCTAGTAATATTTTTAACACATAAATTTCTCTGAATGCTAGTTTTTTCCTCCTTATAGAAGCTTCTCATTTATTTCAGGATAACTAAGAATTTCTCACAGAAACGAGTTGGCCTGTATCAAAGGTTAAACAGAGGTCCAAGTTTAGGGGAATCAGTAAACCCTCATAATTATATGTAAAATTTGGTCTGTGTTGATGGGTTTGTGTGAGAAAGGGTATTTGGTTTTTAAAGTCATAGATTTTACAAAAAAATAGATACTTTTTTTCATGATTTAAAGGGACAGAAAATGTTTACCAGAGTAGTAAGTAAAAACTTACCTAGTAGAACAGAATGATTATATCAGCTAATATGAGGTAATTCATGTAGGAAAATAGATATAATAAGCAGGCTTACAATGAACGTGTTAATATAAAAGTATAAGATTTATAATTACCAGATATTCTATAGGTATTTAGGGATTACATTTTTTTCAGTTTTATTGAGATGTAATTGACATACAACATGCATTGTGTAAGTTAAAAAGTATAACTTTTATTTTGTATAACAATGATTTGATATATATATACAATGCAAAATGATTATCACGATAAGGTTAGTTAACATCTGTCACCTCACATAGTTACGATTTTTTTCCTGACAATGAGAACCTTTAAGATCTGTCTTAGCAACGTTCAAATATACAGTACAGTATTGTTAACTGTAGTCTTCATGTTGTACATTACATCCCCAGAATTTATCTTATAACTGGAAATTTGTACCTTTTGATCACCTTCACCTAATTCCTCCATCCACCACACCCCCACCTCTAGCAACCACAAATCTGATCTCTGCTTCTATGAGTTTGTTTTTTTTTTTTTTTAGATTGTACGTATACGTAAGATCATGCTGCTGTGAACATGGGGTGGGGTGCAGATATCTTCAGACAGTAATTTCATTTTCTCCAGATATCTAGAAGTGGAATTGTTGGATCATATGGTATTTCTTTTTTTAATTTTTTGAGGAACCTCCATACTGTTTTCCACAGTGGCTGTACCAATGTACATGCCCATCAACAGTGCACAAGGGCTCCCTTTTCTCCACATCCTCGCCAGCATTTGTTATCTCTTGTCTTTTTTAGGATGGCCATTCTAGCAAGTAGGAGGGGAAGGGATTAAATTTTTAACCAAAAATATATATAAAGCACATGTTTTAGGATCATATTGCCAATGGCTTATAATTATAATTTTAAATATTCATCCTTTCTTTTCTTTCAGGAGACAATTTGTGACATCGCTGAATTGGAATCATTGAATAAAATCTTGCCCTTACCAAACCTCAGGTTAGTAAAGTCAAGACAATCAACTGCAAGCCTGAGAGTCATGGCTGCCTAACTCATCCTGAGTTGCTGGCTTGACAAAGCATAGCATTTGGGAGTCATGTTTCTATATTTAGTATTTGAATCTTTTCCCAATCCCTTCTCTCTTTCCACCTCTTCATCCCCACACCTGACAGAATCTTTTTTTTTTAAGATTTTTATTTATTTATTTATTTGAGAGAGAGAGAATGAGAGAGAGCACATGAGAGGGGGGAGGGTCAGAGGGAGAAGCAGACTCCCCGCTGAGCAGGGAGCCTGATGCGGGACTCGATCCAGGGACTCCAGGATCATGACCTGAGCCGAAGGCAGTCGCTTAACCAACTGAGCCACCCAGGCGCCCCAGCACCTGACAGAATCTTGACTAAAGTAGAAAGTAATCCGTAAACATAAATTTAAGCTAAATGTTATTTGATTTCCTTTGTGTTTGACAGTTGTAAAAAACTAAAATCCTATTAATATTTTATCCCTGTAACCCCAAAGTGCTACCAAGAGATCCCGTTTTCAAAAAGTCCTCACGTATGGCCATTCTTAGTTTTTCAGGAACAGGTTTGGTAGAGTCGGTTGGAAGTCTTCAAGAGATTAAAGAACATATATCAGAAGCAGCAATGGCAAACCCCAAGTCTCCCGAGTCTCTTTCGTGTTCATAGAATTCTGAAGCTGGATACATGAACGTGGCTTTTCTGAAAGAGACACACTGTATCCAAGAACAAGACCAAAAGTCAGAACTATAAAATCACTGATGGCTAAGACTAGATGGATCAAAGCTGCTAACTTAAAGCTTGGGCGTGAGGGTAGAACATGACATGGAGAAGAGTTACCTACCACGGATCCTCACTGGACGTCAACCAGGAGTCCTCAGAATTGCTGATAAATTCATTAAACCAGTTTTAAAAATGGATTTCTCAAGTTTGTTTGATATCCTCAAATATCCTTGTATTGATCAGTAATAGTGACTTAAGTTCAATGGTTTAATTAGGGGTCTTTTCAGCAGAGCACATATATATCTAATTCAGCACTTTCCCCCTATTATCATGGGTATTATTTATTTTTTAAAAGTAAAAACAATGTAATTGTATTAAAGCGAGTACTTTATTTTATTTATTTTTTTTAAAGATTTTTTTTTTATTTATTTTACAGAGAGAGAGAGACAGTGAGAGAGGGAACACAAGCAGGGGGAGTGGGAGAGGGAGAAGCAGGCTTCCCACAGAGCAGGGAGCCCGACGCGGGGCTTGATCCCAGGACCCTGGGATCATGACCTGAGCTGAAGGCAGACACTTAATGACTGAGCCACCCAGGCGCCCCTAAAGCGAGTACTTTAAAAAAGAAAAAGAAATCTATAATCCTGCATTCTCAAGACAACTATTTTCATTTATTCCTTTTTGGTTCTTATTCAAATGCATATACTTTTAAGTGGTTGTTATATTGTGTGTTCATTTTCACAGCCTGATTTTTAGTTTAGTATACCATAGAACATTTTTCTGTATTTCAATAGTCTTCATAATTATTCTTTCAGTAGCCACATAATATTCTATCATGTTGATGTTCTATAAATTCTCTCGTTTGCATTTAAGTTGTTTCTACTTTTTCACTATTTGAGGTTATGCTGTGGTGAAAGTCTTTGTGAATTAGCTCTTTTTTTCTCTTGAGTTACTCCAGAAAAGATTGGCATAATTGGGTCAGAAATACAAATGTTATATAGTTTTGGTATATCACTTGTTGTGTTGCTTTAAAAAAAAAAGTTGTGTCAACATAATGTTTCTATAGTGAACCTCTTTATTTTTTTCTTTTCTTTTTCCCTTTTTTTTTTTAATTAAGTAGTCTCCACACCCAGCATGGAACCCAATGTGGGGCTTGAATTCATGACACTGAGATCAAGACCTGAGCTGAGATCGAGTGGGATGCTTAACCAACTGAGTCACCCAGGCGCCCCTATAGTCAACCTCTTTAAGCCTCAATTTCTTGGTCCATAAAATGGGAACAGTAGTCGTTCCTGTCCCATAGAGTTGTGAGGACCAAATGAAATGAAATGTGTATTTAGAACTTAGTAGCTGCTTAACAAAAGCTAGGTATCATCATTTCTTTTCTTTTCTTTTTTTTTAAAGATTGTATTTACTTATTTGACAGAGAGACACAGCGAGAGAGGGAACACAAGCAGGAGGAGTAGGAGAGGGAGAAACAGGCTTCCCGTGGAATCATCATTTATTTTCACCAGCACTTTGTACTAGTTTTTCCACAACCTCATCAACATTGGATATTACCAATTTAAAAAATTTATTTTAAAATAGTTGCTATAAACTATACTGAGGGGTGATTCCTGCTGTTCTTTCTTCCCATCCTTATTCTCCTCTTCTTTTTTATTCTTCAATTGGAGATAGAGAAGGAGACCAAGGGGAAAGGAAAAGTAACCAAAAATAAAGACACCTTAAGTTGAAACATTGAATTTTTATATGTAACCCTTGCTTCCTCAGGTGACTGACCTAGAAAGGATGATCAAAGGATATAGGACATAATAGCTATGATATCAGATATATGCTCTGACTCCAAACCTTGCCCCAGGTCACCTTCTTTCACTATTGAATCCCTACTATGGGCTATTCAGTAGTAGGCATTAGAGCTACACCTGTGAAGACAGACAGCTTCTGCTTTCCTGGAGTTAATATGCTATTAGGTTGGAGGGTAGCCATGTGTGTGCGACAGGGACACAGAGGTGGGGAGACAGACCATATAATTTTGGATGGTGAATCGCATGAGGAAAATAAACTAGTGATGCGTCTGAAAGAGTGGCCATGGGCTGCTTTAGGTTGAGTGACCGCTGAACTGAGACCTGAGCTACAAGGAGTACTCCCTGCCTTCATTAAGACCTAGAAGAATGTTAAAGACAGTTAACAGCTAGTACCAAGACTCTATGAAGAGAGTATCCTTCTCCATGACCTTGAGGGACAGAAAAGACAAGTATCATAATTGAGGGTGATACAAGATGAGGCCAGGTATGCGCGGCCAGATAATGTAATGTAGGCCTTTGTATATAAGGAATTGGATCTTATTCTAAATATGCGAAGCCAGGAATGATGTATAAACATTTATTTAAAAAGCTCTAGCTGCTCTGCTAGCAGCACGAATGAATTGTAAGTGACAAGAGTGAAAGCTTGTGGCAGAACTAGAACTAAAATTCTGGTGTCCTGACTTAACTGAAGGGCTACATATGCCAGGCTGTTCTAAGCGCTGAGGATGAACAGGTTCCTGCCTTCGTAGGGTTCACAGACTAACGTGCAGGGATAAGAAACCGCATATATGCTGGCTCAGAGGTCCTGGCCCCGCCTACTGCCGCAACGCCCAGTTTGGGTGCCGCAGGCCGAGACCTTCGCCGCCGGGGCGGGGCGCGACTTCCGGGGGGCGGGGCCTGGCCTCGGTTGACTCTTTTTGCGCCTGCGCCGTAGAGTAAACTCGCTAAGCGGGGATGAGGTTTGCCGGAACCCATGCCTCCGTCTTCTGCTTCCGGGTCGGAGCCATGGCGGTGGCAAATTCAAGCCCTGTCAATCCCGTGGTGTTCTTTGATGTTAGCATTGGCGGCCAGGTGAGGTCCAGGCAGCCACTGCGCCGAAGGGACACTTCACGGGGCCAGCCGGGAAGATCTCACCCACCCAGGGATAGCGGACTCGAGAATCCAGGAAACGAAACTGGACCAGAACCTACCAACCTGCGGGCGGGGGCACGGGAGGGGGAGGAGGAGTCTTGCCCATCCTAGCGCCCCGCAGGGGGAGGGACTGGGCGGCACGGAAGGAGAGGCTGCGGAGGTGGCAAGGGGGAGAGAGGGGTCAGCCCCTCCAGTTCCCTGCTCGCTGAGGCCTTCATGGTCTTGGACCGGGTATTCTGACAATCTCCCGCCGCTTGCAGGAGGTTGGCCGCATGAAGATCGAGCTCTTTGCGGACGTTGTGCCTAAGACGGCCGAGAATTTTAGGTAAGGAGATGTTCCAGCTCTGCTAGATTAACCGAACCAGAAGCTGGACCCGGTACGCGTTATCCTCTGCCTCCCTCTATCCGTCCACTCGCTACCCTTGAGATCGGAGTCCTCTCTGTAGCGTTCTGAATAGTCAGCGTTTCTACTTTTCCCGTGTCAATTTTGTTGTTAATTTGTATGCTTAGGTGTCTGGACGTCGGCTGGCCCGTTGGTGGCCTTGCTGGCGCGAATGTCTCTGCTCCCCCCATCCCCACCCCATTAAGGGCGCCGTCAGCTGTGATGTCATGGTGACTGAATCGTTCACTCATTTCCCTTTCAGGCAGTTCTGCACCGGAGAATTCAGGTCAGTCTCAGACGTGGTTGATTTCTCTGCTTGCTCTTGAATGGTGTCCTGGGGCTGCAGTGGGGTTTTGGGGAACCACCGGCAGGACTTGAATGATTGCTGGTGACAGTAATAGACTTCTTCCGACCATCTTTAGGAGAGTCCCTTGGCTCCAGTGGGTGGTAAACTGGACAGGCCTATGATTACCTGTCATCATTCCAAGTTTCTTTCTTTTTGTTATAGAAAAGATGGGGTTCCGATAGGATACAAAGGGAGCACCTTCCACAGGTAAGGCCTTGGCAAGCATCCTGCAGGCTTTTAGAATTACTTCCTTGGGGGATTCATCTCTTTAGAGGGAAATAAAACCATAGCATAATTCCTAGATCTTGAGAAGGAATGTTTTTGTGAACTCAGCAATTGATTTGAAAGCTTATTAAAAGCCAAAGTGATAAACATTTTATTTTTAAATCAATGTTAATCTAAAGTATGACTAAATCAATGTTTTTCTAAATGACAGAATCTTCTCTCAGAATCCTTTATTCTCTGTTTCAGGGTCATAAAGGATTTCATGATTCAGGGTGGGGATTTTGTTAACGTAAGTACTATTTCTTTGCTATCAAAGCCCTATAGGAATATTGTTTTTTGTTATTGCTGCTACTACTGTTTCTACTACAGGGCCCAGTCCTAAGGCTTGAAACAATAGCCAAGTTTGATGGGGGAGGAGGGTGATAGGAATGTCCTTTAGAGTTGCTGTCTTACTTCTTAGATGACAGACATCAGCACTTTGAGTCACTGACTTCCAAATCCCCTAGCCTTTTAGGGCCAGAAACCGAACTTTCCCAGCATACCTCTACATGATCCATGAGAGATAGAAACTAGTTAGTCACATGAAACTTGGATAGAAATCAGATGCGATTTTTTTTTTCTAAATGGCAGTAAGTCTTTTTTTTTTTTTTTTAAAGATTTTATTT